GGTCAGGGTTGTACACTCTCAATATCCCTTGTCATTACTGGTGCAACACTTGATCACTGGATGAAGCAGTCAGCCAGGTTATTCCAATGAGCAAGCAAATACCACATATTACATAAAACTATTACTATTTTTTTTTAAATGTTCTCATGAAAGGACAAATTATTTTTGTCTAAGGTAAGACTGTAAGTAATTCCTCTGATACTGTATTTTAAATACTAAACAAAATAAGATTGAAGAATGTGGCCAATTTTAAACTGAAAAAAATCTAAACCAGAATAAATGATAGCTTTCATTTTTTTAATGTTACTAAAGGCATGAACAAAAAGCTACTATATGATCTACTGCAGGGTAGGAAAAACTCAAGTTTTTTTTTTCTAGTATCTCTAAAAATCTTAGTTATCTAAACTTTTAAGTTTAAATAATTTCTTTTGTCCTTACCTGATCTCTTAAGAGATACAATATAGGCAACAGACCCTTCATAAACACAATCAAATATTTGGTATCTACCAAGGGTACTACTTTTACAAACCTGATACTGTGGTGATACACTAAACTCAGAAGTACAGTGCTGCATCAGCTCTCAATACATTGAAGCAAGAAGACCTCCTGGGTTGCACATCAAAGCTTAACCCTTTGGGGGGTTATGTAAGTACCAAATGTAACTTTTATCTATTTCTTCTAAGTCTTATTTCAAATGATTCTACTTTCATGAATAACTTTCCAAAAATATTTTATTTGTACCTTTATTTATTTTTTTTCCCATAACGTTATTGAGAAACAAATAGCAATAAGAAAGTTTCAAACCAAATTGGTAGGACACTTTCAATAATTAACACAATGCATACATTCTTCCTAGTGGTGAACTGCTGTACAGGATACAGCAATTAACATGATATCTTATTTACAAACAGTAATAGAACAAATCCCTCTATTTACTGAATCAAGAGAATGTAGCTATATATCTATCCTAACCATTTTAAATACATAGATACAAAATGGACATTCATCTATATCCCCTCTTTTTTATTAGTTCCGTTATTTGAATATTACAGGTGTGTTAACTCAGCAAAATATTCTAAGAGTCCAATAGTCCATAATAGTACTGGGTCTTTCGCCTCACTGGCAATGTCAGAAATTGTTGACCTGAGTCCCCTACAGCTCAACATAACACCATGGCTTTACTTCTTATACTTCATTTTTATACTTTTCTCCTGGATGGTTAAGACCAAGGTAAAGCAGGACCTATGCAACAACAGTTGCAGCTTTTGGATCTGATAAGGTCAGTCAAATCCCCTCAGGATTTATCCTGAGACCCTGTACCTCAGATTGTAGATCCTTTGTCAGTGTCAGCCATGTGGATGAGTCACGGCCATTGCTTGGCCAATGTGCTCTCTGTGAAAGCCTGAGAGAATGTTTTCTCTCCATTTGACTCTCCTTAGGCACACTCTACATCATCGATCACTTTCCTTTTTGGCCCCATAATCTCCTTGATCAGAAAATTTGGGACACTACTGAGTTACATGACGTTACAGTACAAGTTCTCATATGTCCTGAGTCTTAATTGACCTTGGAAGGCTAGGGCCAAAATGTTGGCTTTTCTTGTGGCCCTCATTTTTCTCTAGTTTCGGTCTGCAAACTTAGGTTGTTAACCCTCCAGAAGAGAAGTTTATTGTTATTACCATACAACTACGCTGCTAAGCTTAACCTCATTATCTGTCTGAATATCAAACATCTTAGGTATAACATGAAACAGGTATTTTTCATCAAGTATTGGTATGTTGAACTTTAAGTTCCTATAGAATATGATGAAAAAACATTTAAAAATTAGAATATATTTTAAAAATAGGCATAAAGAATTATATAATTCTTATGTTTACATGTAAGTCCAAAAATCTAACCATATACAACCTTGAACCAGGACAGACCCACAAAATTCCTTTTCCTGTCTCCTGCCTTCATTCACCACCCCCTTATTTTTGAACAATCATCTACCCGAGAGACAGCACAGCAGCAACTGGCATGTCATGACAAGCAGCCCGTATTCAAAAGACCAGAATGACAGGTACTGCAAGCATGAACCTACTATTACAAATTGCCATCTTCAGTGCAGTTGCTTAGTTCACAGGTGTCAGTATATATAGTTAGCCAGGGTGAGAATCTTTCCAATTAACTGCTAGATTCAAAAATCTTCTGGAGATTCTCAGGATCGTTGCCTTGCCCATCTTCTACATATAACTGTGTGGCTTGACATTGTCATGTTTCCTAGCTCTTCTCCTTTCCTTCTCTTGATTAGTTAGTCCTCAAGATCCTGCTTTCCTTTTACTTGTATTATACCTTCGATTTGTATTTCTTCTTTTGAGTTCTTGTACTAGGGAAACTATATGATATTTACACATGTGGGTCTGGTTTAATTCGCTTATGAGTATATGTTCAAGAGGCATCCATTTATATATAAAGGCTTCAAGTTTATCATTCTTTATAGCTGAGTAATACACCATTGTATAAAAATACACATCTTTTTCATCCATTCTGCAGGTGATGGACATCTTGGTTGTTTCAAAGATTTGACTATCACAAATTGTGTTGCTATAAACATAGGCACACATATATCCCTATGATATGATGTTTTCAGATCCTCCGGGAAAATTCCCAGTAGAGGAATAGCTGGTTTAAAGGGGATTTCCTGTCCAACTTTTCTAAGGAGTCTCCACACTGATTTCCA